GCCTCGCCGCGCGTGCGCGGAGATGGGGGGGCAGATCGCGCCGGGGCGGGAGGAGAGGGCAGCGGCGCGCGTTCCCCCCACCCCCCCCGCCCGGATTCGGGGCCGAAGCCGGGTCTCGGGCTCGGTCTCGCGGTGTTTCCAACGCCCCGAAGAGGTGCCACCTCTTGGCCAGAGGATCGGGGCGCGGGGACGCGAGCGGGTGTGTGGGAGCGAGAGCCGGGCTTGGCCCGGGCCGCTGGCCGGTGAGGAGGCGGGAGGGGGCGGGGCCTGCCAGGGGGCGGGGGAGGGGTCTTGCTCTGAGGCCAAGTGGGGCGCGCGCTAGGCAGAGCGGGAAGGTAAGGGGGCGCGAGATGGGCCTGGGGGCCTGAGGGGAGAGTTGGGAGGTGGAGAGAGAATGGGGTGTTGTGGTGAAAGAGGGTACTTGGGGGAAAATCTGGGGGAGTCACGGGTCATGGTGAGGTGTGGAAACTGGGGTGATGAGAGGACCTGAAGTCGGGGCTAGTCAGTGAGGGGCAGCAAGGGAGTCAGGCCTAAGTCCTGAACCCCCTTGCGTATTCTTCTTTCCTAACAGTGTAAATGAGCAAAGATGGATCAGGAAGGTGGGGGAGATGGGCAGAAAGCCCCGAGCTTCCAGTGGCGGAACTACAAGCTCATCGTGGATCCTGCCTTAGACCCTGCCTTGCGCAGGCCTTCTCAAAAGGTGTACCGCTACGATGGAGTCCACTTCAGTGTCAACGTGAGTGCCCCAGGCCTTGCCAGCTAGGGAACTCTGGGCCCCATTCGTCTCTGTTACCTCTGTTGAGCACCCTGAACTCCCATACCCATAGCCTGCCTTCTTAAAAGTGGGCAACCAGAACCCTGCTCTTTTGCCTGTGGGGCTCCAAATGTGCTTCCTAAAGCTCAACGGCACGGCTTTTTCACCTTGAGCTGTCTTTCTGTTCCTGCTTTCCTTCCTAGGACTCGAAGTATATACCAGTGGAAGACCTCCAAGATCCCCGTTGCCACGTCAGGTCCAAAAACAGAGACTTTTCCCTCCCAGTCCCTAAGTTTAAGGTATGTATCTGCTAGACTCTGGGTGTGGTGGGCCTTGTGTGGGGGGGGGTGTGTGTGGAGGATCCATCCTGTTAGTTTAGTCTCAAGATAAGCTAATGAAAGGGGGAAGGGGCTTTTCTATGAAGGGATCATAACCAGATCTTATAATCTCTGAGGCTGTGAAATTGAGTTGTTCTGGAGAAGAGTTGTGTTTATTTTCTAGAAAGGTGTAGGTGAGGTGTTCCAAGCAGGGGTGCTGACTTCTTGAAGAATGAAGTAAAGGTACATTTAGTTGCTGTACATGTCACTGCGTACTCCTAGAAAATGCACAGCATTACAGTGCCCTGGTGTGGTACCCCAGTTTCTCAACAATTAAGGGGAGTGACAAGGCCAGGGACTCCATCTTTGGGAGTCCTCTGCTCCTTACCCCTCGTTTGGTCACTTGATCCTGCATCTTGTTTCTTCAGAAGATTCCTATTTCCCTGTCTAGGCAGGATATTCATCAGGCCTTGGACTGGCCCTCGAAAACTGAAGGTTCTCGGTTTCCTTCACTAATTCTTTACTTTCCTTCCTTTTTAAATAAACCATTTGTAAGGTACTCTCAGTCCATTTTTTTTCACTTTGTATATTCTCTCCGGACAGTCTTTTTCATACGCATAATTTTGACTGTAGCTGAAACATTGGTGACTTCCAAATTTCTGTTTCCAGCCAAAATCAGTCTCTTGAACTCCAGACTTGTATGCCCTGATTGAGGGACAGCTTCATCTGGAGGCCCCACAGACATAGCAGACTCAAGAGATCGAAAACAAGTTATCTTTACTCCTTAATCCCACTTTCCCTTCCATTTCCCTTTTACTGATGAATGGTAAAACCATCTATTCAGCTGCACAAACTGGAAACCTGGGAGTCATCTTTTGATTGTCCTCTCCTGTATTACATAATCTGTTACCAAGTCCTGCTGACTCTTTTTCCTAAACCCATTTTCTTTTTAATCTTAATTTTCCTTTTTCCGTTGCTGTTTTTTTAATGCATACTCTTATATGTTATATGCCTGTGTTCTCTTTTCCCATTTCATGTTCCACCCTGCCATTTGTCTTTTTTATTTTACTCTTACATTACTTTCATTGCCAAGTCCCATGTTTTGTGCGTTGGCACATATGATTATTGATCTGGCCAAGCCTCATCTCCTGCCACACATGTGTTCCACTCTACCGTACGTTTTGCAGCTCCTAGAAAATGCCAAGTTATTTTATAGTTCTGTGTCCTACAAGTCCTTGTCATCTGGTGAACTCTAGCTACCCAAAAAGCCAAACAGGAATGACACCATCTTTATGAATTCTTCCCTGCCTCCACTCCTTCGCTGGGCTCCCAGACACCCTGTCTATACTTATGCTGACATTTGTGTCCTGTTGTGACTGTGTGTCTGTCTGATCTGCTTTTCTGAACAGGAATCTTTTTTTTTTCATCTTTGTATTCCTAGTGCCCAGTCCATGGCAAAAGTTGAACTAGTGAGTTATTCTCTATAATTAGTTTTTTCCGCGTATGTTTATTTCTAAGTTGTACGTTTCTTTTCTTGGTTCTTGCGTTATTTGGTGATGAGAAGAACTCAGAGCAGAGAGGGGTTGGTCTCACGTTGCACTTGTTGGGGCCCTTTCCCCTGTTTCTTTGCCTGTGTTTCCTGGTCTTCTCTCGACCAAGTTTCCCAAAGGGCAAAGGCACCGTGGTCAGTATTGAGACCCCAGACTCAAGACTCCTGTCCTCTCCACAGCTCGATGAGTTCTATATCGGACAGATCCCACTGAAGGAAGTGACTTTCGCGAGGCTGAATGACAATGTGCGGGAGACCTTCCTGAAGGATATGTGCCGAAAGTACGGTGAGGTGGAAGAGGTAGAGATCCTTCTTCACCCCCGTACTCGCAAGCACCTGGGCCTGGCCCGCGTGCTCTTCACTAGCACTCGGGGAGCCAAGGAAACAGTCAAAAATCTCCACCTTACCTCCGTCATGGGCAACATCATCCATGCCCAGCTCGACATCAAAGGTGAGGGCTCTCTTGCCTGCTGCCTAAGGTTGAGCTCCAGCAGAGACTGCACGTGCAAATGCCTGTTTGGGGCCAGGCGCATGGTCAGGTTCATGATTCCTCAGCTGAAACTCTTGGGGCCAGATGTGTTTCTGAAATTAGAACTTTACAGAGGAATTATGGGTTTTATGTGTTTTCTGTCTGTGTGATCTTTGGCAAGGTTGGGTAGCGTCTTATAGTCTAGCACGTGACTGTATTTGTAAGAATGTAGGAAAGGTCATGCTAGGTATGATCAATAAGAACTAGTAAAATCACCTCAGCTCAGATCAGATTTTGAGATCAAATTCCAAAAAATGCTTGGTCTGGAGTTTCTTGGGGTTTTGAAATTTGGATCAAGAATTTGGGACCTGTACAGATGAGTGAAGCAGCCTGGGGTTCTGTGTTAAGAGGCAGTAGGGAGGAGCGAGGGACTTGTGGTGGGAGGGGGTCGGACTGTAGAGTACCGTGCCATCGAAAGGAGGCAGCTGTTAGTTGGTATTAGCCAGTTTGCAAGTGAGAATGAGGACTAATGTTGCCAAGTAATGTTTTGTTATTAAGTCAAAAATCTAGGTTTTTGTGTAAATCTCAGGGTTTTTAAATGCTGCAACCCCCTCCCCCAAATTTTTTTAAGTGATTTTGTAGGGCAAATAAGAGACCTGTGGCCTGGAGTTAGCCCTCAGGCTGCCATTTTGCAACCTTTAGTTTGTAGGATGAAGAGCATGGTGGGATCTAGCATCAGACGACCTGGGTTTGAATTCCAGTCTGCCACTGACCAACTTTGTGACTTTGTGCAGGTCAATTTTCTTTGAGCCTATAAAATAGGGGTACTGATGCTTCTCTCTCCTGGTGATCATCCAACTTAGTAATATAAGTAGAGGCGTTTATTTATAAGCTGCAAAGTGCCGTTCGGCACGTCGTTTGTAATATCGTTAGGTAGAGATGAGATAGAAGATCCCAAAGATAGAGGTAAGGTAACTGAAATCCCTGAATCCAGGACTCCCAAGAAATTGTAGGAAACTTGAGGTCTGAGAAAGAAGTGGGAAAAACAAATCAGGAAGGAGGAGTTTTTTCTGTCTGACTCTGATGGTTCCCATCTTCCTCCCTCCAGGACAACAGCGAATGAAGTACTATGAACTGATAGTCAACGGCTCCTACACCCCTCAGACAGTGCCCACGGGGGGCAAGGCCCTGAGTGAGAAGTTCCAGGGCTCTGGTGCAGCTGCTGAGGCAGTAAGTAGCTCATGGTTGCCGTGGCCCTCGCCACCTGGGCACAGTGCTTGGGTGCCAGGAACAGCATTTGGGAGGTTCTGGACTTCCCTGTTAAGGATAGCAAGAGCCAAGAAAAGATGCTGAGATGCTTTCAAAAGACAGGGAACTGGGGTTCGTGGTTTGGAGAAGGGCAAGCTGTCACATGGTACTTGATCTCTTCTTTTCTCCCTGCTCTACTTTTGCCCTCCAGACTGAATCCCGCCGCCGCTCCTCCTCTGACACGGCTGCCTACCCGGCAGGCACCACTGGTGTGGGCACACCTGGCAATGGAACCCCTTGCTCCCAGGACACAAGCTTCTCCAGCAGCCGACAAGACACCCCATCTTCCTTTGGCCAATTCACCCCTCAGTCCTCCCAAGGAACCCCTTACACATCTCGGGGCAGCACCCCCTACTCTCAGGACTCTGCCTACTCCAGCAGGTGCAGAGTGAACACCCTCTGGGACCCCCAGATTCTGGGAGTTGCCACTAGGAAGAAGAAACCTGAAGTCTCTCTAAAAGGGGAGTTGGGAGTCATTTGTCCTGGTTTCTCTGTGGATTCAGCCAACAAATCCCTGTCCTCAGGGAACTCACTGTCTAGCTAGAAACCCAACAGCGTTTAGATCTTCCTTTGGGGGCGTTGACTCAAGGGGCTTTGGGTCCTGAGAACCAGGACACTAGGGTTCGGTCCTACAGAGCTGAACCCAGCTAACTCCTGCACTCTCTCTCCAGCACCACTTCAACCTCCTTCAAGCCCCGGCGCTCGGAGAACAGCTACCAGGATTCCTTCTCCCGCCGCCATTTCTCCGCATCTTCAGTCCCCACGACCACCTCCACCGCTGTCTCCGCCACGACTGTAGCCACTGCCTCGTCCTCGTCCTCCTCCTCCTCCTCCTCCTCCTCGTTGTCCTCGTCCTCTTCGTCCTCCTCTTCGTCCTCCTCCTCTCATTTTCGTGGGACTGACTCTAACTACCCAGCGTATTATGAGAGCTGGAACCGCTACCAACGCCATGCTTCCTACCCTCCCCGCCGGGCGACTCGGGAGGAGCCCCCTGGGGCATCTTTTGCTGAAAACGCAGCTGAGCGCTTCCCGCCTTCCTACACCTCCTACTTGCCCCCTGAGCCCAGCCGGCCTGCTGACCAGGACTACCGGCCTCCTGCCTCAGAAGCTCCACCCCCAGAGCCTCCAGAACCGGGTGGAGGCGGGGGTGGGGGGGGGCCCAGCCCTGAGAGAGAAGAAGCTCGGACCTCCCCCCGCCCAGCTTCACCTGCCCGCTCCGGCTCTCCGGCCCCAGAGACCACCAACGAGAGTGTGCCCTTCGCTCAACATAGCAGCCTGGATTCCCGCATTGAGATGTTGCTGAAGGAGCAGCGCTCCAAGTTTTCGTTCCTGGCCTCTGACACGGAGGAGGAGGAAGAGAACAGCACCACAGGCCCTGGGTCTAGAGACGCAGGGAGCGAGGTGCCTTCTGGGTCAGGTCACGGACCCTGCACGCCCCCTCCAGCCCCAGCTAATTTTGAGGATGTGGCACCTACAGGGAGTGGGGAACCAGGGGCTACCCGGGAGTCTCCCAAGGCCAACGGACAGAACCAGGTGAGGTTGGGGGTCAGCCAGCAGAGGTGCCTGGGATCTGGGAGGCAGGGTTGGGCCCGGCGGGGGAGGGAAGGGAATCAGGCAAGAGAATGGATTTGAGGAAGAGACTAGGAAATAGGCAGAAGCTTTCTGTGACCCTTCTCTGCACCCCTACAGGCTTCTCCATGCTCTTCTGGAGAGGACATGGAGATCTCCGACGATGACAGGGGTGGCTCACCCCCTCCAGCCCCAACACCCCCCCAGCAGCCTCCACCCCCGCCTCCTCCACCCCCTCCTCCCCCTCCCTACTTGGCTTCCCTGCCCCTTGGTTATCCTCCCCATCAGCCTGCCTACCTCCTTCCACCGCGCCCTGATGGGCCACCACCCCCTGAGTACCCCCCACCTCCTCCGCCACCCCCCCACATTTATGACTTTGTGAACTCCCTAGAACTCATGGATCGACTTGGGGCTCAGTGGGGAGGGATGCCCATGTCCTTCCAGATGCAGACCCAGATGTTAACTCGGCTTCACCAGCTGCGGCAGGGCAAGGGATTGACTGCTGCCTCAGCTGGTCCCCCCGGTGGAGCCTTTGGGGAGGCCTTCCTCCCATTCCCACCCCCCCAAGAGGCAGCCTATGGCTTACCCTATGCTCTGTACACACAAGGGCAAGAAGGCCGAGGGGCCTACTCCCGGGAGGCCTACCACTTGCCTTTGCCCATGGCAGCCGAGCCCCTGCCCTCCTCCTCAATCTCGGGAGAAGAGGCCCGGCTACCTCCCAGGGAGGAGGCAGAGCTGGCAGAGGGCAAGGCCCTACCATCAGCAGGCACCGTGGGACGGGTGTTGGCCACCCTCGTCCAAGAGATGAAGAGCATCATGCAGCGAGACCTCAACCGCAAGATGGTGGAGAACGTGGCCTTTGGAGCCTTTGACCAGTGGTGGGAGAGCAAAGAAGAGAAGGCCAAGGTGAGGGGCAGTGCCTGGGACTGGGGAGACCTTGGGGCTCCGTTGGAGAAGGACTTCTGGCTTATGTGAGGCCCTTAAATCTCTGAGTTTTGATCTTCAACATTTCTGTTTGTAGAATGGGAATGATAGTAGCTGCTTTGTAAGGTGGGTGGACTAAACGAGCAGACTTTGGAGAAAATGCCTGTACGGGGCTGGTGCAGGGGGGTGTGGCATAGATCTGTGTCAAATAGAGGAGTGAGTAGATGCATTTCTGTATTCCTGGGACCTGGGAGTAGTTCTCAGGCAGGAGGCAGGAGGGAGCGCCTGGGTTCTGGGGCTCAGTCCCCCTACTGCCTGCAGCCATTCCAGAACGCAGCCAAACAGCAAGCCAAGGAGGAGGATAAAGAGAAGACAAAACTCAAAGAGCCGGGTCTGCTGTCCCTCGTAGACTGGGCCAAGAGTGGGGGGACCACGGGCATCGAGGCCTTCGCCTTTGGGTCAGGGCTGCGAGGGGCCCTGCGGCTGCCTTCTTTCAAGGTACCCAGAACTGATGTTTCCTCAGAGGGAGGTGAGGGTGGGCTGGGGACCTCCCTTCCGTGGGGTAGGTAGGGGTGCTTGGGATCGGTGAGTGTGTGAGTTCAAAACAGGCCCCATCTCTTCCCACGCCCCAGGTGAAGCGAAAAGAGCCTTCAGAAATTTCAGAGGCCAGTGAGGAAAAGAGGCCCCGTCCTTCCACTCCAGCTGAGGAAGATGAAGATGGTGAGTGGGAGGTCAGGTGGGAGCAGAAAGGGGAAAGGGTACTAGCTTCTAATAGGAATGCAGGAACCAGTGAGAAAGGGGGAAGGTGTCTGAGGGCAAGTGGCCAAGTAGAGGTTTTGCTATAGAGTTAAAGCAGTGCGGAGAGATGTGAGAAGCTTAAGATAGGGTTATTCCTGGGTCCTGGTTGTGGTTCTTACTCTGGCGTGCTGGTTGAAGCTTCCTGTGTTTCATAGTTCCCCCGTAAAATAGAAATGGTAACTTTAACATCTAGAATCCTAGGGTTTCAAGGTTAAACAGGTCGCTTACCTTGGTTTCCCATCTAATGCTTAAGCTCTTCTCCAACCTTCTTTCCAGTTTGCCTAGGTCTGAGCTGTGGGTTGATGGCTTACGTGGCTAGGCAACTTCCTTACTGAGTCCGATTGGCTTCCCTGGAGACCCATTGGCTTAGTGCTATTTTCTTGGGGCAGGCGTAACAAGTCCGTTCCCTCTTCCACCCGACCCCAAAAAGGACAAAAGGTGAAGCGGGTGCGGTGTGGTTAAACTATAGAAAATGCTAGGTAGCTCTGGGGTTTTTGTATTTCTCTGTTGAGCTTCAGCTTCTTGTCTGTAAAATGAGGTCTGTCTGGTCGGACCATCAGGAAGATCAGGGGTGTGTGCAAAGCTCTTTTCAGACCAGGGGACGGGAACTGTTCCTACTGATGGTAAATTGCCCTCTAACTGCCACTCAACTGCGCCTAGACCCTGAGCGGGACAAGGAGGGCGGAGAGCCTGGACGTGCGGGGACCAAGCCCCCAAAGCGAGACGAAGAGCGAAGCAAGACCCAGGGCAAGCACCGCAAGTCCTTTGCTCTGGACAGTGAGGGGGAGGAGGCATCCCAGGAGTCCTCCTCAGAGAAGGTGAGGGGCCATTGGCGCCCGCTCCCTGCCAAGATTTCCTGTCCCCGTAGCCACCGCCTCTCTGGCCTGGAGCCCAGGTAGCAGTGGCCTCCTGGAGGACAACTGTCCTTTTCTTGTTAGTCCCTATTTGTCCTTTTCTTTAAGGAGGAGGAGGAGGATGAGGAAGATGAAGAAGATGAAGAACGTGAGGAAGCCATGGACACTGCAAAGAAGGAGACCGAGGCGTCAGATGGTAAGTTACAGACAGGACAGCCAAGTTCTGGCTTGGGGAAGAAGGGGTTCCGCTGCCTGTCTAGCCCTTCCCTGAGTCCACAGAAACTTCGTGCTGGATGTTTTGGCCTCCTTTGCTCTTCCCCAAAGCAACTGTCTTTCAGCCCCATCTGTTGGAACCCTTGGCCCATTGTAAACAGTAACTCCGACACCCAGACCGCTCCCTTCTTCTTACCTGCTGTGCTGACACATGGCTCTCGCCTGATGACAACCCAGCAGAACTAACTTATTTTCTCAGCCCCTCAGGATGAGGGGTCCGAGTTCTCCTGCTGCCCCCTGGTACTACCAGACTGTGCCTTTCTGCCTTTGAGCACTGCTCGTCTTTGAAGGCCCGGCCGCCGAGCCGTGCGCCCCCTCATCTCCTCTCCCCCGGCTGCCATCCCCAGACACAACTCCGCTCTTCAGTTGGACACCTGTTTGTCCATCCACATCCATTGAGTCTGGGGCACATGGTTTAGTCTTGCTTCTCCTTCATTTGTTCAGTGCTACCTGTTGAGCCCCTACTCGGTACCAGGCACTGTTCTAGGTATTGGGGACACATCTTTTATGGAACTTGGGATCGATTGGAGGGGAGGAGGAGACTTGACAAATGAACAGATAGCACTTTGGAAGACAGATTCATAGTTTAAAGAAGAAAAACTAGGTTACTGGGGTGGAGAGTAACGGATGGGGGAGCTGGGGAAAGATGGGCTGTTCTAGATATCTTGGAGAAGGAGCACCTCTGAGAGGTGCCATTTCAGCAGAGGCCAGATGGGAAGAATGATGATCTGAGAGGCTGTCTTTTCAGGAAGGCAGAGGGTGGGGTCACCTGCTCTAAGTGGGGAGACTGCCACACATCCACTTGGTCACCGCTTTCTGTCCGTTTCACTGCCTCAGCGTTTCTGGGATTTGTTGCCTTCTTTGTTCCTGCTGGCCTGTCGTTCTCACTTAGAGTCTTTTGCAGCTGTGTTGACTGATTTCCCTGTCTTTGGTTCCATCCTTCCTCCTCTATTCAGTTCATTTTCCAGTCTGCAGATGGAATTCTCTTCCCTCCAGCACACACCTGACACTGTTACTTCCCTCCGTAAAGTCTGTTTCTAGCTCCCTATTTTCTAGAAGATGACTCCTCAGCCCAATACTTTGGGCCATTTATAACCTAGCTCCAATTTATCTGTTGAGCTCCATCTTGCCATCCTCCAGACCCATCTCAGGCCACCACCACCATCTATTCTAAATTCATCCACTTGTGTCAAATAAATAAATAAAATCTTAAAAAAGAATAAAAAATAAATTCATTCACTTGTGTTCTTCAGACACTTCAAAATTCTTAATTTCTTATAAAGTCCTTCCAACATATTGCCATTTCCCAGAGGCATAGAGCATATAACACCTTTTTTTTTTTTTTTAAGATTTTATTTGACAGCACAAGCAGGGGGAGCTGCAGGCAGAGGGAGAGGGAGAAGCAGGTTCTCCGAGGAGCAGGGAGCCCGATGCGGGGCTCCATTCCAGGCCTGAGCCAAAGGCTGTCGCTTAACCAGCTGAGCCACCCAGGCGCCCCGTGCTTATAACACTTTTAAAGCTCATTTTACCCTGGACTCCTTTTTATGAGTCTCGCCCCGGCAGCTTCTCTAAGACCCACCTTGGGAAAAGCTTTGGTAGTTAAAGCAGACCGCTTAGCGGTCTCTGGTCTCCCATCTCCCTTCACCTCTGACACCCCTGTTTAGCCCTTGTGTCTTCCTAGTGCATTTCTACTTGTCCTTCTCAACTTGAGCATCTCCCTCACAGGGATCCCTCCCCTGACTGGCTCTTCGGCAGAAACCAGGACTTCCCTTTGCCTTGCTCCCCTGGTCTTTCATACTGAAGCTGGTCTCACTGTGAGCAAACAGTGTACTTATCCAACTCCTTGAGGGTTGCACTTCCCAGCACCTGGCACAGAGCCTAACCTATCCATAGTAGTGAGTCAGTGAATAGACCCAGGGCTTGGCCAAGTAAGGGGTGTTCCCACCTCGCCTGATTGCCCCTTCTGGATTTCCAGGCGAGGACGGGGAAAGCGATTCGTCCTCCAAATGTTCTCTGTATGCTGACTCAGATGGTGAAAATGATAGCACGTCGGACTCCGAGAGCAGCAGCTCATCCAGCTCCTCATCTTCTTCATCTTCCTCCTCCTCGTCCTCATCATCCTCCTCATCGTCTGAGTCCTCCTCAGAAGAGGAAGAGGAAGAGGAGCAGCCAGCAGCCGTACCCCCAGCATCACCTCCCCCCCGAGATGTCCCCGCGCCCCCGCCAGCACCCGTGGAAGAGCCCGAGCCAGAGCCGGTTGCGGGCTCCCCAGCCACGCCTCTCCCTGAACAGGAAAAGTCTCCAGCAAGACCTGCAGGTAGGTGGTGCCGAGCCGGTGATTTGGTCTTTGTTTATGTTTGCATCTGTCCTTGTGAGAACAGTGGGGTCCACATTTATGAATGATGTACTAGTACGTGGCTTTGTTTGAAAGCATACAAACTGGACAGAAGTCACCATCTCCTGTCAGTCCTCCCTTGGAGACACTTATGGCCACGTTCAGACTGTGCTGCCAGGGGCGGCTCGCAGAGCCAGAGCAGGCATGTGGCTACCGAGGACAGCAGTGGTCTCTTTCACCGCTCCCGCACCCTGCCCGTCCCAGAACGGTCTCTTTCTAAGTTAATTAAGGAGGAAATTCCCAATTTAACAAGTTCCCCCTATTAATTTTTTTGAGCTTCTGCTTTAATGTGTCATGTGTACTTGCAGGTGATTAAATGAACAAATAGGTGGAAGACACCTATGAACAGCTTTGGCTCAGAAGTTAATTTTACCTTTGCTTTGCCTTGTGGATTTGTACGTTTGACTCTTACTTTATTGTACGTACGCTGTTCGTTCAGGCAGGGGATATTTATTTACTGAGTACAGTTGACCCCTGAACATGCGGGGTTAGGGGCGCCATCCCCCTGTGCAGTTGAAAATCCACCTGTAACTTTTGACTCCCCAAAAGCTTAACTATTAATAGTCTACTGTTGACCAGCAGCCTTACTGATGACATAAGTAGTCGGTTAACACGTTTTCTGTATGTTATACGTATTGTGTGCTATATTCTTACAAAAGAGTAAGCTAGAGAAAAAAAAAACCCTCAAAATCATAAGGAAGATATGTTTATGATACTCAGCCATATTTCTCAGAAAAAGTGTGTGTGTAAGTGGCCCTGCACAGTTCAAACCTGTGTTGTTCTAGGGTCATCTGTACTTATGGCAGGTGTATGGGGTACAGTGGTAGGCACGATAGGCCCTGTTCTCACCCTCCTGAAGCTTATGGTCTATAGGGAAAGACCGTTTAGTTGAGTAATAAATACCTCAGAAAATCTCTCAAATCTGATGGCAAACTGATAAGCCCCATAAGAGAGAAGAACAGGGTTCTCTGAGAACCTGAGCACATTTGTGGGGATGTCTTTGCTGGTCTTTTCTGCTGAAGCATCCTTGGGCTGAAATCAAGGCAGAGCAGGCAGCTGGGCTTGATTAGAATGTGCAAAGTCCCTGAGGGCAGAGGAAACAGCATGTTGGAGACATAAAACAGGCCTTCCGGATGGTGGGGAGCGAGGGGAAGCTGGAATGGCTGGAACTGGAGAGGTGAGCAAGGACGGGGCCGTACAAGAGCACTCGGCCTCATTAGGAATTTGGTCTTTATCTTGAGGGCAGTGGAATGCCATCAGAGGAGTGACGTGATCTTATTTGTGTTTTAAAAAGATGCAGTGCAGAGAGAACTTGGAGAGGGGCCAGAGTATGTGTCGGGAGGCTAGGAGGCTGTTGCAGTTAGTAAGTGAGGCAAGCAATGGCGGTAACTCGGAGTAGGGTGTTCTTAGCATGGCATCAGTAAGTCAGTTTTCAAGATAGGCTTCGTAAATGCATGTGGCCCTCCAGACACCTCTCTCAAATGGTACTGAGAATCTGTGGTCTGAGATGAACAGTAACTGCATAAAGACCTCCCAGTGCTGTTGCACTCTGCTCTGGTGCAGGCCTCTCAAGAGGAGTCGAGGCTCTCATTAATCCTGAGACGCCTCTCCCGGCCTTTCCTAATAAGCCCATCGGTAGCAGGAGAGCTGGTGATCAGAGGGCATCACTCTCAGTAGGGCAGGTAGAAAGAGTGTGGCATGGTCCGTTTTGCATTTCTCCAGAAGGATCATCCTGGTAGGAAGGGGGGGATTTGGAAGGGGTGAGGAAGGAGGTAGGGTGACCCCTGTGAGGGTTTGAAGAGATGCAGGTAAGTGAAGGGCAGGAACCAAAGCAGGGCTGGTTACAGTGAGGTGTAAGGAGTAGAGGTGGGGCTGAGGATTTGAGAGAAATTGAGATGAACCACTTGGTTAAACGACTTCCCAGGAAAGGGAAGATGAGGAGGACCGGCATTAGGAAGAAAGCTGATATGCTTCCTTGGGGTTGACTCTGGTATGCCTTTGGGGCCTCCAGGTAAGAAACATCCAACAGGCAGTTGGATCACTAGATCTGAAGGTCAGATGGGAAGGAAATGTGGCAGCTTGGTTTTCCAAAGGATGGAGTGGTTATGTAGGAGCAGGCCGAAAGAGAGGTTGTTAAGATAGGAAGAGCTTCTGTTGGATTTGGCAGTTAGGGGGTCACTGGTGACCTTATCGTTTTCTTTTTTTTTTTTTTTTTAAAGATTTTATTTATTTATTTGAGAGAGAGAGTGAGAGAGAGAAAGAGCACAAGAAGGGGGGAGCGGGAGAGGGAGAAGCAGACTCCCCGCCGAGCAGGGAGCCCGATGCGGGACTCGATCCCGGGACTCCAGGATCATGACCTGAGCCGAAGGCAGTCGCTTAACCAACTGAGCCACCCAGGCGCCCCCTTATCGTTTTCAGTAGAGTGGGTCAGACTGGAGCCAACTTACGGGGTGTTAAAGGAGTGAGGGCAGGTGACAGAGATAACCAGTCTTGTGGAAGGGTAGACTACTCCTCTGAAGAAGAGTCTAAAGGCCGTGATGAGTGATACTAGGTAACGTTTTTTGAGTGCTTCCTGTGGGCCAGGCTCTTGGCTTAGCACACTGCTGATTGTTTCCTCATGCAGGCCGCACACCATCCCTGTTACTCCCGCTTTCCAGATGAGGAATTTGAGGCTTAGAGAGATGCTTGAGGTCACCCAGCTGGGATCAGAGAGATGAAAGAGAATGCAGGGTTGGTGGAGGGTTAGTTTTTCAAAAACTAAAAAGGTGAAACAAGCATGTAGATTAGAGGCAGGTAGACGGGCCAGGAGAGAGCGCAGCACCTGTCAGGGTGGCCTACCTGGGGGTGGGCGGGTGACCTCTAGGCCTGACGCACGTACACCCATAATTGGGGAGGCAGAGAGATGTGGGCTTTCATGCCCAAGGACGCCCTGTTTCACTCTGTAGTAGGAAGGAAGGGCATTTTCTGAGCACAAAGGGATGGGTAGAGGAGGAGCCTTGGGGAAGGAGAGTGAGGAGTGAGGATGAAAATGGACAGGGCTCGCGACCCAGATGTCCTGCTGAGACTGGGAGTCGGGTGAAGGAGGAGAAAATGCAGGTGGTTGGGCAAAGTTAGGGTTGGGGGTCTCCAGGGTGGCAGCGGTGGCTGAAGGCTGTGGAAAGTGCTGTGAAAGGGGAAGACAGAGCGAGGGCCCTGCTGGCGGGCACAGGGGGCAGGCACAGGAATGAGAGTGGCTCATTTAGGAGGAGGGTGACAGGCTAGGGGGAGCCTGAAGGTGGGAAATGGAACAGGTGCGGTGGCGTGAACTGAAAGGAGCTGAGGAATTGTGATCAGAGGGCAGGGCGTCAGAGGGTTAAGGTCCTGGGTGGGGCCATCTGGGGGTTACCAAGGTCATGTGTGTGAGTGGGGAAGGCTAGCTGAGAATGAGTGAAGGAAGGCACTGGAGAGGGAAGAATGGGGTGAACAGTCCTGGAAGTAGATGGCAGAGTTGGGAGAGGGAAAGAAGGTTAAGGCAGGTCCCTTGGCTTTTAGAGAACAATGGGGATGTTCGAGTTCCAAGGATGCAACTGGATAGAGAGTATGTGGCCCGATGGCAAGAGAGGACTTGTCTGGTGAAACCCAAAGATGGGACCTGGACACCTTTGGGATTTGCCTTTTTTCTGTCTTCTGGTCTGATTCTTTCCTCTCCTGCAGATGGGCTTCCCTGCTTCTGTCCACCCCTACGGAGAAACCCACTCCTATCTTAGATCCTTATTCTCAGGGAAGTTTCTGGTTGGCCTGGCTTGGGTCAGGTTATCAGTTAATGTTGGCTGGGGGCAGGGAGTGGGGCAGGTCATGTTGTAGAAACCTTGGCTTTTGGGAGTTGTATAGACTGGGCAGATATCCCAAAAGTTGTCTCCCTAAAGGAAAAGCATGGCCAGGTTTCTTTGAGAACAGGAAGCGAAAGAGAAATCTGTGTGAAGAAGCTGAGCCAGGAGGGGAATTCGTTCTCCTCAAGAGCCAGGCTTCCAGAGGGCACAGTGGCTCGGTTGGGATGATGGGTCAAAGGCAGGGCTGCCCCAGAACAGCAGAGAGAAGGAGACTTGGAGAAACTGGAGGGCCTGGGACGAGCACCCGGCGCCTCACTAGCTTCAGAGTGTGGCTCACTGCTGGCTGAGACTCCGGCTGCTCTCCAGAGCCTCGGGAGACAGCAGGCGGAGGGCCTTGCTCGGGGTGCCTGGCTGGTGAATGTCTGTTAAGGTCATGGACACAGGTTGGCCTGGAGCTGGCTGCCCTTTAGTTCTGGGAGTGCTAGAGCCAGACGTCAAACCACCGAGTCCCACTGTGGGATGCCCAGAGCAGCATGGGGCAGTTGAAGAGAGCTCGAAGTTCAACCCTGGCCGCCTGAGGTGCAGATCTTATTCTGGCATTTGTGAGCTGTGTGACCTTGGGCCAGTTAACAACCTCCCTCTGCCTCAGTTTCCTCATTGGTAAGCTGGGTTTAATAATAGTACCCACTTCACGGGGTGGTTGTGGGGAACGAAACGAGTAGTTAAGCGACTGCCTTCGGCTCAGGTCATGATCCTGGAGTCCCTGGATCGAGTCCCGCATCGGGCTTCCTGCTCGGCAGGGAGCCTGCTTCTTCCTCTGACCCTCTTCCCTCTTGTGCTTTCTGTCTCTCATTCTCTCTCAAATAAATAAATAAAAATCTTAAAAAAAAAAAAAAAGAAATGAGTAGTTAACATACGTCAAAGTCTTGGATTGGTGCTTGGTGCAAAATACTAGTTACCAGTCTGCTGCCGCCCTGAAGCCTGGCACTTGAGAACCACCGGCCTTCTGGTTCTGAGAGGAAGTTACTACCAGCGTCTTGAGAAGTTGGGGTAGCCTTCACAAAGATGGCGTTGAGCTGGGGCTAAAAGCCGCATGTGAGCTTTCCCAGTAGGCAAGAAGGGAGAGGCAGGTCTGAAAGGCCATGCCTGTTCTGGTGGCTGAAACCTAGGAGCGGAGAGGGTCAGTCCGCAGGACAGGGTCTGCCCCAGGGACAAGTCAGTGTACATCTTGAGCTGTATTCAGACCCCCACACTCAGCAACAGACTTGGGGATCCCAACAGGGAGGATGTGCTTCCTGTCTGGTGGACTGGAGAGAGATCACACCACCTGCTCAAGACGGTGTGTCCCCTCCGCAGGCTATCCGCCCGTCCTTGGGATCTCAGCTTCACCCTCAGCTTCTTTAGGGGAGTCTTCCTGAACCCTCCCCACTTTGGCAAACCCTCCTGCTACTTGGCAGGTGGTGGGAAGGAAACAGATTTTATGCAGTGTTTTAATACAAAGGTTCAGCTGCTTACGTTATATCTTTTTCACATCACTAAACAGAACATTGTAGTTGAAATAACATACTTTAATTCAGAGAGGGTTAATTGCATCCCCATCATGCAGTGCGGCCGGCAGAAATAGTCTTGGCCTGTGTGCCTAGTCTTTGGACATAGTTCAGTCACTGCCAGTCTTGGTAAAAAGGCTGGAGCCTAAGCGTTGGTTTCTCTAGAGCCCCCATCTCGACTCTGCGCAGTTTGGGCTGTACATTTGTTTCCTGTCATTGTCCCCATTGGACTGTAAGCTCTGTTGAGGGTTTTGAAAGTGTTTGCTCGACTTGTTTACCCCGTGCCTGACACGGGAGTTGGTGCTCCATGAATGTTTGTCGACTGTGTGAACGAGCAGGTGCAGAATCTCCTCCTGCCAAGGGAGCCCACGGTGCCGAGGACATGGCGGGCGTGAGGCAGCTCTGTTGGCCGAGCGAGGACAAGTGACTGCCCGAAGCGGAGGAGAGCCGGCAGCCTGCGTGCGGCCTCCCCGGCGAGGCTGGCCAGTGCCCCGCCCGCACGGAATCCCCTCTGAGGATGGCTGGCCCGAGTTGCTGACCCTCTGCTTCTCCCTATGTGCTTCCTTCCCCAGGTTCCACTGAGGAGCCGCCTCCCAGTGTGCCCCAGCCGCCCGCCGAGCCGCCGGTGGGGCCTGCGGCCCCCGCCCCCCGGCCCGATGAGCGCCCCTCCTCTCCTATCCCCCTCCTGCCCCCACCCAAGAAACGCCGGAAAACTGTCTCCTTCTCTGCCCTGGAGGAGGTGCCGGCACCAGAGCCGCCCCCAGCCGCCCCTCCGCAGATCAAGTCTCCTGGCCCCGTTGCCCGCAAAGCCCCCCGGGCCATGGAGCGGACCATTCGGAACCTGCCCCTGGACCATGCGTCTCTGGTTAAGAGTTGGCCTGAGGAGGTGTCCCGAGGAGGTCGCAGCCGGCCTGGAGGCCGCGGCCGCTCTGCTGAGGAGGAGGAAGCTGAGCCAGGGACAGAAGTGGACCTGGCGGTGCTGGCCGACCTGGCCCTGACCCCAGCCCGTCGCGACGACTCGGAGGCCACAGAGACGTTGGACGAGGCCGAGCGCGCGGGCCCCCTGCTCAGCCACATCCTCCTGGAGCACAACTACGCCTTGGCCGTCAAGCCGCCGCCTTCCACACCGGCCCCTCGGCCCCTGGAGCCGGTTCCTGCCCCCGCCGCCCTCTTCAGCTCCCCAGCGGATGAGGTCCTGGAGGCCCCCGAGGTGGTGGTGGCCGAGGCAGAGGAGCCGAAGCAGCCGCAGCCGCAGCGGCAGCCGCCGCAGGAGGAGCGGGGGGAGGAGGAGGAGGAGGAGGAGGAGTCCGAGTCCTCGGAGAGCAGTGGCAGCAGCAGCAGTGACGGGGGCGGCGCCGTGC